TAATATTATATATATTATAAAATATAAAATATATTATGTATATTAATATAATTTATAATTTTATTATTATAATAAACTTATTTAAATAACTTTTAGGGATAATTTGGTCATTTTGATAGTGTTGTCCTTAACTGTTTTAGTCGTCAAACACATGATAGCAATTAGTCATGTCTTGTCGAGCAGCCTTGTCGTATTCATTCATGTTTGATATAGTCTGTAGATGCTACCTTTTTTTTTATTAACCAAGATATCCAACCCGCTATATGAACTGACTAATCCCAGGACGACCACCTGCTTTGCAGATAGCCCGTAGTCACCGCATTTGAACCTCTGTGACCACAAGGGGATTTTTATTCCTCATTGAATTTGAACCTGGGACCTCGTGGTACTTTTGACCTTTGGAGCCAAGTTCAAATCAATCAGGCACCACCCTTGTGGTTTGTAGACGCTACCTTATTGTAAATTTAAAATAAAGTATATTCGTATCAAGAAGTAAATTCGAAATCCATGTTTAAATAAAATATAAATTACAAATTGTGGTTGAACATGTCATCTTAATTTAAAGACCTTGTAAAAAAACAATATTTTATTGTTTATGTCAAATTAATTAATTATAAAGTTTTCATTTTTTGGTATATTTATTTAATTCAAAATTCTATTATATTTTTAATATTTTATATTAACAAATAAATATATAATTTTGATCCCTCTAGTTTACACAAAGTTACAGATAATGTCTTTATCAATAAGTACAAAGATGGTCGATACAATTTGCACTTTGCTTTGAAAATAATCATTCAAATCAACTCTGTTAAAAATGGTTCGTAACTGAAGGACATTTTTGTCTTTTAAACCCTTTTGTTATTTTCTTGTTTGTCTTTTACCCATTACCCCTCCCCTCCTTCCATTTGTTTCCTCATGTTGTCGCCGATGAAACATCGCCATCTTCGGGCATCCCATGTTCATCTTTCCCTAAAGAAAACATACACATACGTAAACCACTTATGACTTAACCTCTCTGATCTTCTTCACCTACAACCACCCCATTTTCGATCTTCTTCACCTGTAACATGATCCACTCAAACCCTTAACCACTTCAGACACTACATATGGTTGTCTACCATTTGAATGATTCGATCAAGAAAAGTAAGATGTACCGATGTTGAGATACATTCGGTTGGATTCAAGTTTGAAGTCAAAGATGGTGTATACTTTTGGTTTCCTTTTGATTCGATCCCACCTCCACCCATCCCCTTAACCACTTAACTACCATTCAAAGTCAAAGATGGTGTATAACTTTGGCTTCGTTTTGATTCCATCCTTGTCTACTCCATCAATTTCGTCCTTGTCATCAACCATTATGGTCTTGATTGCAGGGGGTAAGGAGATGGTAGTGAAGGGGTGATCAAGGAAAGAAAGAAGGAGTTGAAAGAGGAGGTTGGGGTGATCAACCATTATCTTTAAACTTGTTTTGTTACAGCTGTTTTACATATGAACCTGATGCAATCATATATAACATGTGAACATATTTTATTACACATGTTATACATATGAACCTGATGCAATCATATATGACATATGAACGTGTTTCATTACAAGTGTTATACATATAAACTTGTTTCAATACAGTTGTTATACATATGAACCTAATGGGATCATATATGACTCTGTTTTATTGAACAGTTTGAGCTTGTTTTATTAGAAATAACCCTATTTAATTGAAC